TTAAAAATGAACTGCAGTTCCACTTCTCTATCGCTAGAGGCCGCCACTCCGCGCTGCGTCGAGCGGTATTTTTTATTTTTATTATTACGACTCGAAGGTTGAACTTTATTTTAGGTAATTAGGCTTACAGTAACTAGCTAGTGGAACTGTTAGCTGTTTCGTTCTAGGATTGAAACAGTTTTTATTGCCTTCCTCTTCTTCCCTTCAGGGGGCGCCACAGTTGCCTCCATCTCACTCCAGCATCCTCCTGTCACAACAAACCTTCACACAGCCATCTGTGGTCTTCCTCTTTTCCTCCATGTTCCTCTGATATAACTCCAAAGAACAGTAAGCTACCTGTCTTTGTCTTGCTCGCCATTTTGTAAGGTAAATTAGCTAGTATACTGAAGGTTACAATTATTTTCTTACGTTTCAATCGACATGTGGCCAATTTTACAAACATTTTTAAATGCATATTGTGAAACAGCTGTTTTAATGCTTTCGAAGAATACATACGGCTTGTGAAACTGTTTTTGTTTTTCATCCTAAATAATTGGTTACCTTTCCAAGTATTGGTATGTTCGCTACACGGAAGTGTTTCCAGCAGACTGGCTTTAGGTTTCTGATCACCGACAGCCCCTGAACGCAGCAGATCATGGCGCCCAAAGACCCCCTGCTGGCCCCATTGAAAGGTAAACAGCCAAACGTTATTACGTCATCGTCTCAGCTCCTCTGGACCGGGTTTTCCTGTTTTAAACAGGAAATTGCTCTGAGTTCATAACTCGTGCACTGAAATTCCTAAATGTTGACAAAAACAACAACATAAATGAGTCCTCGTGACTCAGTGAGACAACCTGTATGAATAAAGGCTGAATGAAAACAAAAAACATCACGTCATCCATTTATACATCATCAACTGACGGCCTGCGAGCTGTTTCCAGCCCGCTGGAGGGTGCGGGGAGGACCAGTGAGCACATTTTAATGAACCTTTCAGAAAATCCTCCCGTGTATATCTACAACTTCTGAAGTTTTGGAGATGCCATCTGTTAATTCAGCGTAAATGGAGCTCTCACATTTGTAAATAAAATGCCTTGTGCTAATGACCAAAACCCTCATCTGTTTGGTTAATGAACGAGGGAACGTCTTTATGTGATTTTTGACAACATTTATATTTACTAACTGAGCGAGTTGTTACAGGTTATACTCTCAACACACGTCCATGTGCTCATTCAATTTGCACTACTGTTTACATTTGACCTTTATATCAATATCAAGGACTTCATACATATACTGTGTATACTGTACATATACTGTGTATACTGTGTACATTCACTTCGTATGTTGCTTTGTCAACAAATGTCCCTGTCAGGACCTTCATACTTATATATATATTTTTTATATTTACACTGCTATACTTACAATTTAGGATCGTATCATACGTTTATTATTTCATTTTATGCTAATGTTTATTAAAAGTTTAATGGTTATTGTTGCACCAGGGGTCTGATGACATTTAAATCCTGTGTATGTCCTGTACTTGTTGCAGTTTTGACAATGAAGTGACTTTGACTTGTCTCTGGGGCCTTGCTGTCTCGTAGCTCTATGTCCAGGTACGGCAGATCTCTTGTTAATTACTTATTTAAGTTCTCTCTCTGTCTCTCTCAGTGTGCGTCCTGCACTTGCGGTCAGGTGGGAATGTGGTGACAGACTCCCACCCTCACCTCTCCTCCTGCTGCGAGCTGCTTGAGCAGATCCTCAGGAAAGGTCTCCAACGTCAGTATCTCTAACAAACCTCGTGTATTGATCTTCTTACCTCATGCGAGTTTGAAACCCGTGTATGGACGGAGAGGGGATTGAAGTGGTCTTTATATTTCTTTCCAGAGCCAGTTCTTAGTCTGGTCCACAGAGATTACTGGCACTGTTTTGAACAACTTCCCCACCAAGACACCTGCGACAGGTAACGAGTAGTAACAAGCATCTCCTGCAGCAGTTTGGCTCCGCTGGACTCGAACCATGTCTGCTGTGTGTGCAGGCTGTCCACTGTGTCCCTGGCTGTGGAGCAGACCAGAGTCTGCAGGAAGCTGCTCTCAGCTCAGGGCCGAGGGCGCTACTTCCTCAGACTGGCCCTGAGCCGTAAGGCCCTGTCCCAGTGCTTCACCCACCTGCTGCACACCCCCACAGTCCTGCAGGTCTGACTGCTCTCTTTATATCATTCTACTTCCTGTTTTTGTTGTTTGTTTATTCTGAACGCGTCTGTTTGATCTCCAGTGGTACAGCTCAGATTTATCCAGCCTGAGGAATGAGGAATTTGTGGGTGAGAACTTTTTTTTTTTTTCTCAACTTCTAATCCAAGCTGAGGAAACTGTTCGTTCCTGCTGGTGTCGTCATGAATTAAACTGTTCTCCTTGTTACCAGAACCCTTCATGTCCCTGGTTCTGGTCCTCTCTCACATGGAGTTCAAGCTGGATGTGGAGGTCAGAACAAAAACTATTGTTTTGTCATTTCTGTGATATTGAACCAACCAGTTACTGTGTTTCTTATGTTTTACACAGAACTGCAGTTTCCTGGATGAGAGCTGGCTCCTGCCGGTAACGACGTTCTTGCTCTAGAACCTTTATGAAAAAATGTCTCCTCTATTAATGAGCCATGCTCACGTCTGCGATTTATTTTCAGGTTCAAGACATCTATGAAGTCGTGCCCTGCCAGGAGGTGGGCCTGGTTCTGAGGTTTGTCATTTTAACTCACGTTTCTACAAAGACGTGCACACGATCCTTAGTCCATCTTTGTGGATTCTTCAGGTACCTGAGTGGGCGTGTCTTCGTCCTGCAATTGATGCCGGGTAGTCAGGCCCACGTCGACAAGTTCATCTCTCCTGGTGATATCATCGATGAGATCAATGGAACGTCGCTGAGGAATTCTAAGAATGGACACGTGAGGGAAGCCTCAAACATTCGATGACTTGAGTTCATTATTTATACATTCAGGTTCAAATACATACATTAACCTAAAGCTGTTAAATTCATTCAACCTTTATTTATACAGGTTAGTCTCACTGAGTCTCAGTCATGAGGACTCATTTTCTGTTTTAGACAAACAACAGATAAGGTACACACAACAATAAACAATGCACAACAATAAAATGCAAATAAAATAAACAATAAAATCAAGGTACCAAATAAAACAAGGTAAAATACTAAAACAAGAGCATGTTTTCTTTGATTGTTCTAATAAACTGATCAGTTGTTTAAAATCCCTTAAAAAATATAGAGCTTCAGATCTTTTTGCAAGGTGGTCCAGGAAACGAGCAGAGTAAGAAAAGGCCTTTTAGCTGAGTTCAGTCCTCACTCAGGAGACACTGCAGGTAATGATGTCTGGAGAGCGCACGCTGTAGCTGCACTCACTCAGAGACATGTAGGAGGAGATGTATGAAGGCAGCAGACCAAGAAGTGATTTAAAGATGAAAATGTACCCGTGAGAGTCTGCGTGAAGTTAATGATGACCAGTTAACCAGTGAATACAGGGTGCAATGATGGGTACGGTAGTTACAGCCAGTTATGAATCTTAACGCACCGTGATAGACAGCATCCAACATCTGCAAACAATGTCACCGTAATCAATGGAGGGAAGGAAAGTCACAGTTACAATATGTTTCCTGGCATTCAGAGTTAGGCCCCGTTTACACGGACATGGCGGGGGCAAACTTAGGTTTTTTGGATTTTGATTTGAGGAAAAAAAATCAGTGTTGACATGGAGCAAATTTAGTGTCTACATGAATCCCCCGCAGTTGGTCATTAGTTGGCGCTGTGAATTTTGTACATTCACTTAATGTGCACGCGCGCTGCCTGGGACAGCGTCTGCAAGGACTTTCCTCTGGTCTGAAAACATGTTTCTGAAAAAAGAAACAGTTTTAATTTCAGTTTCTTGAAGTTTTCAACATGAGGCTTAAAAGAGAGTTCACAACAAAGTCCATGCTCAGTAATCCAGGTATACAATCCAACATTTTTCAGTCAGGTCATCTGGGCAGTTTCTTTTTTTGTGCTGAAACGTTTCGCCTTCGGTCCGGAAGGCTTCATCAGTCAAGGAAACACAACAAAACTGATTCTTCCCCCAACATCTTACTCTAAAGTCGAACAAACCAGTTGAAAAATGTTGGATTAAAAGAGTTGTGCGTCAACCAAGAGTCCCAAGTATTTGTAGGAATCCACAAACTCAATAGGAACACCATTCGTAGATAAGATAGAAAGAAGAACTGCTGGTACCAACTTCCTGTTTGAAACCAACATATTTTTGGTTTTACCAGCATTTAGCACCAGTTTGAGACGAAACAAATCTGACTGGATGATGTCAAAAAGCTGGAAAACCTTAGCAACTGTTTTATCGTCAGCATAGAGATGTAAGGAGGCGTCTAGAGTGTTTTTCACCTAAATTACTTACCGGTATATAAATTGTAAAGAGGGTGGGTCCTAAGACTGAGCCTTGTGGTACACCATTATTGACAGTTAAATAGCTAAAAGAAGTACCATTGGGTTGCACACATTGCTTTCAATCTAAGAGATAATTAGACAACCATCTGATAGTATGATCTGAGAAACAAATATCTGAGCTTATGGCATAAGATGTCATGGTCCAGTGTCAAAAGGTCTATGGTCATTCAGGACACGTTCATGTAAACTTCTGACTACAACTACACATCTAGTTTTATGAACTAAGGATAGTAATAAATATAGATCTGGTTAGATTCAAAAGAATACAAAAGTTGTAGACACTACAGATAAATGTAATTATGGTTATTGTGTTTTCTTCCAGGCAGGCGTGGTACTGTCCCGGCTCAGAGGCTGCCCTTTGTCCATCTGTGTTCTCCGATGGAGGGCCCACGATGGAACCGTGTATCGGCCCCTCGTTAAACTCCTGCGAGCCCTGAGGACGGAGAACCCCCACCTGCAGCTCGGTCCTGCCCCCGGCCAGCAGCCAGCCAGTCATGACCCGAGGCCGCCCTCGTCACAGTGTCTCAGAGAGGGAAGGCATGTGCACGTGCACTCAGCTTTGTTTTGTTTGTTAGAAATGTGCTACAAGCTCAAACTTCTCTCCAACAGAATCGTTTACATCGTGAAGTACCTGGGCAGAGCCAAGATTGGAACGGTAACTTTTTACTTGACATGTTTAGTTAATGACTTTTTATATCTTGTAACTGATGCGACATCTGCTCTGACTCTAGTTTGGAGGAAAGGAGGTCCTGCAGCAGGCGATTCCACAGGTGTTGCATCAAAACCTGACCATCCAGGTAATTGCAGCCCCTCCTGTGCCCGGGGCCACGCAGAGGTGTTCCATTATTGCTCAGTGTCGTTTATCCCACAGGAGGTGCTTCTAGACATGAAGGAGACCCATCTGACGTGCACGGACGCGAGCAGTTCGCTGGTGAGCCGCTGCAACACATCATTGCCATGAACTCGTCCATATGTGCTCAACATCGGTGTCTTCACAGAAACTGTTTGAGCATCACTATCCAGAGATCTCCTGCGTGGGGCGCTTCTCTCAGCCTGACTTCACGGTGTTTGCCTTCTGCGTGGCGTAAGTGTCCACTTCATGGTCGTCACCTCAGGAAAGTCAACAGGGCTGGTAGTCATTAGATTGTGCAAATTCTGCTTCCAGGGACTCTCCTGAAACTCCTCAGTCTACAGGATTTCATTGTGTTGTGTTCAAAGCCAGCTCTGTTAAAGAGTGTGAAGATCTGGTCTGTCGTATTGGTGAGGCGTCACATGAACATTGTTTAACCAGTTTGTTCTACCAAACTTTACAACCCTGCTCTCCTTTTCTTACAGCTGCTGGTTTCAAGCATACTGAATGGTTTGTATAAGTCATGTGATCAAATGTAAACAAATGTGTAATAAACAGCTCGTCTGAATAAACACACAGTACTGTATCCATAAAGACCTTTAATAGAAAGACATGTGACAACATTTCATAAATATTAAATGTAGCTGCCAAAGTTTGTGTTGGAGGAAACATGTAAAAAGCACCCCAGGAAAAAAAAAAAAAAAGGGGGGGGGGGGGGGTGTTGCAATGCTCCTCATCACAACGAGCCAAATAACAGCTGCAGACGAAGCCCCAGCACTGCATGGAGTTTCATGTTCAACTATAAAGAAATGCTGTCCCTGAAAAAATTAAAACGTTAACGACTGCGTGACATTTGACAAGTTACATTTATGACGACCTACAACGTGGCAAGTAGACACTACTTCCCCTTAGTGTACTTGGGTTTGTGGAATGGTTGTTTTATTGTAGCACTCTAAAAATACAAAATTCAAAACTTAAAAAAGAAAAAATAAATGTCCAGAAAATGGTTAAGATAAATAGGATCATTTGTCATGACGAGGAGCCTGATGGGCTTCTTTAGGCCCTCTCTCCCCTTATCCTGCGAGCCAGCTGGATGTCTTTGGGCATGATGGTGACACGTTTGGCGTGGATGGCGCACAGGTTGGTGTCCTCAAACAGACCCACCAGGTAGGCTTCGCTGGCCTCCTGTCGACAAAAAACATAAGTGTTTAATTAAGCGCCATCGCTATTCATATTAGCACACCAACTGTAAAGACGTGCCCCCTCACCTGAAGAGCTCCGATGGCGGCACTCTGGAAGCGCAGATCAGTCTTGAAATCCTGAGCAATCTCCCTCACCAGGCGCTGGAAGGGAAGCTTGCGAATAAGCAGCTCTGTGGACTTCTGGTAGCGACGAATCTCCCTAAGAGCCACAGTCCCAGGCCTAGAAAGAAAGAAAAACACATGTTAAAGTTAAGGAGGCAAAGGGTAAAAGAAAACCGTAGTACATGACAGAATGCAGCTTCGTACCTGTAGCGATGGGGCTTCTTGACGCCTCCTGTGGAGGGGGCGCTCTTCCTGGCTGCCTTGGTAGCGAGCTGCTTCCTTGGCGCCTTTCCTCCGGTAGATTTACGGGCCGTCTGCTTGGTACGAGCCATCTCTTTTCTTTTGCAAGCAAAAACAACAATACACATTTATAACTGCACAATTTATAACGTACGTAAAAACAAAAACATTCTAACGTGACCAACGCCCCTCCCCCAAAGCTGCAAAGGGAAGGCGTCGGCCTATAAATAACCTTATTTGAAGTTATAAATATCAAAACTTATTCAAGAGTCCTTTGGACCTTATAAATAAACGTTTAAGAAGTCGATACAAGTCATGGACGCATTTACGCGGGATACGAAACTAGTTAGCTGTAAACTGCTAATGCTAAGCTAACCGCTACAATACCACAACAAATGGCGCCTGAAGCAGCGCGGCTCCAGCTCTCACTTCGCCATTTTCAGTTTCATCCCGAACGTTACCGCATAAAATCAACACAAGCGCCATTACCTGAAGTATTGGACGTTTTTTAATCACATGAACAACTTCGACACGATTCTCCATTAATTACAGTCCGTTTAAAATGTAGCAGCTTTGAATTTAAGTTAGTTAAAAGCGACGTTTAGTGAAAACACTTCAATCGTTAAGCGACTCCATTGTTCTATTTTTAGTAAACGAAACCGTTTACAAGTCGACATGTTTTAGCGCGAAATTACTGTAAATAACAAGCTTGATCACAACAAATTGTTAAAGAGAGCTCAGTCCATATTAACACATTCTACTAAGAACAAAGTATGTATTTTTATTTACCTTTAGGACGTTAATTTGTTACTATGCCTTCGTCGTGATGAAGTCAACACTTCGTCTAGCCGCCGAAATGGAATAATGCCCAGACTGAACGAAACAGACTATTAATACTTCGTCGTGACGTCATACGTGTAACAAACTGCGCGCTCATTGGCTCCTCCTTCAAACTGGATACGGAACAGCCAATCACAATTTAGCTAGCAGAAACACATAAAAACGAACGTTTTACCACATCTTATTTAACGTTAAATAGATTATGTTTACGTGGCGTCATCATAATATTTGCTCTAATCTTGCAAATTCTTATTAAGTTTAAGGAAAAGTGGTGGATATGATTACAGAACTCTATCTCCCATAGTTCCATGCTCCAACTGATTGTCCCTTTTCTACTACTTCCGCTTGTCTTGCGCAAGCTCACATCGTCTGAGAATGCGGATTTCGGAGCTAACAAGCGGAGCTAGCCTGCAAGCTAAAAACAAGCTTCTCGTTGTTAGGTTTTAAAACTATTTAAATGTCTAAAACGAGTTCGCAGCCCCCCTCGTCTTCGGCAACGACGGCTACGGGGGGGCCCTCTTCGTCGTCTTCGTCTTCGCCCGCGGGGGGGTCGACATCTCCCGCAACCGTGTTGAACGTCCAACCAGAAAAACCTCAACATTACACGTACGTAGCTGCTTATACACAATCTCACGTGCAGCTGCACACCTACCCACAGCTGCGTTTGAAGACAGAGTGAACTTTAGAGCATTTAAGATAACCTGATGAGTGTCATTTTACGGTGTTATGTTGTTAAACTTTAAGAGGCCTAGTCAGTAGTTGGTTCAAACAAGAGGTGTACTGTAGCATAGTTTATTTTTGTCTCACATTTGGAAAACTGCTAGTACTGTTTGAGGGGAAATTGGATAATAGTTTTGGGTTAGCCAAGTCTTTAAAAAACGATATGTATCCTTTGAAATGTTTGTGTAATAAACACAGCTTGTGTTTCCTTCTCTTACAGGTATCTCAAAGAGTTCAGGACGGAGCAGTGTCCCCTGTTTGTGCAACACAAATGCACGCAGCACAGGCCGTTTTCCTGTTTCCACTGGCATTTCCTGAACCAGCGGCGCCGCAGACCCATCCGCAGGCGGGACGGGACCTTCAACTACAGCCCAGATGTGTACTGTACCAAATATGACGAGGGAACAGGCAGCTGTCCCGATGGAGACGAGTGAGTGCAGCTGAGACACGGCCGAGGTTTACACCGTCTTGGATACTGCAGTAAAGCCCTCTCTGGATTTGTAAACCTTACTCTCACCCAAATCTAGAGTGCTCGATTACAACAACCTTTACGTCTGGACCGGTACCTTTCACGTCCACCCTGCATGTGTATAGACATGCATTAAAGTTGACATTTCTTTAAACCCCACTACTTATTTTCCTCAAACTTGGTGAGAAACATCCTTTAAATGAGTGGTGGTGAACACAAGTAAAAAAGTCTAGTGGTGATGTTGTGTTTGTATTTCATTTGCCCATAAGCACAAGGAGCACAGACCTGACTCTGTGTTAAAAGGCATAATGTCTTTAAAACCACACAGCTGACTTTCCTCAAACTAGGTGAGAAACCTGCTTTAAATGTGTGGAATCAAATTAGGAAAATCTAGATGAAATTTTGCTTTTTTTGTATGTGACTTGCCTTTAAACAGGGTCCATACACAACTGTGCAAACACAGCCCAGCCATAAAGGTTGTTGTAATCGAGCACTCTGAATTTGGGCAAGAGTAAGTTTTCCAAATACAGGGTAGGCTTTACCGCAGTTCTCCGATTGGGTTTTAACACTTTATCATTACACTTTCAGTGAAAATTAATAGACTATAAATTAAAAAAGCACAACAGAGACCTGTTTGAAGTGGACTGCTTTAATAGAGCTATGCATAGTTGCACCTATTGTGTGTAAGAGGGCCACCTGCATCATGAAGGACCCCACTCACTCAGCACACACACTTTTTGCCCCGTTTCCCTCAGGCAGAAGGTTGAGGAGCATTAAGTGTAGAACCAGTAGACTGAGGAACAGCTTCTACCCTGAGGCTGTCAAGGCTCCCACAGACTCGGGCGGACCTCAGTCCACGTGGAAACTGCGCACCGTCCGCAGAGGTTTGAGACTTCATACTCGAGCATCCACCCTGAGTGGCTGCAGAGCAGCTCCGCAGGCAAGGGGCGTTTACCTTCGGGACAAATTGAGTTCCCGATTGGTCATTTGTTGACACGCCTACTGGATTGATTGACAGGTTGGGGGAAAAAAGAGCTGGCAGCAAGCTGCAGCGGTGTTCTGTGTTTATATGTTTTTAATGAAAAGTTGTAAAAACAAACAAAACAAAAAAACAGGGAGCGCTGGCCCTGCAACCCACACATCATATCAGCCCGCAGCTGGACCTGATTTTAATTCACTTGTGACAAATTCCTTCATTTCTCACCATTTCAATCATGGTGTCAACGGACGAGGAGGAAGAGATCACTTGCTTCTTGGGGGGGAAAAAAAAAACAACAAAAGAAAAGGCCAGTAAACCAGATCAGGGATGAAGAAGAGGAATTTAATACATTGGTGTAGCATACAAAACAGTCCATCGCTGGGCAGTTTATTGTGTTGCACAGAGTATGCATATGTGGTCGTAAAAATTGAGCTTTGCACAGAGATGCCCTGCAGACGTACGCTTAGACTCTAATCCAGTATACGTGGACCTCTGCGGACTGAGGTCCGCCCGAGCATGCTGGAGGCTTTAGACTCATGAGTCCCTAACCAGTATTATCACTGTGAGAAAAAAAATCAATATGATGCCACTTTGACTGGTGATATGTGCTGCTGATCTCATGCTGATTATTTCATGCTGCTGTGTTCATTCGTACTCGTCTGCTCACACAGACTCATGTTCGTGCTGCTGCTGTTTGGTGTATTGTTTTGCAGTAAAGTAGTCCCTCGCTACTTCGTGGTTCAGTTTTCGCCGACTCGCTCTTTCACAATTTTTCAAAGTAAGATTGGACATAACACAATGTCTGGCTGATAGATGAGTCGAATGATCGGCATGGATTTTTTATTTAAAATAAATTATCTTAAATTATTTTGCACCTGTGTGCAGCCCAGAGCTGTGGGAGAAGCTTCCTCCTGCAGGGATCTGAGATCATGACATTCTGTGCTCTTTTAGAGCGTTTAGAGTTTAGAAATATTGTTTAGAATATTGCAAGAGTGTGGGAAGGGTTTAAAACACCTTTATATATGTATATATATATAAATTACTAAAATAAACTACTACCGTATTTTCCGCCGTACACGTCTCACCGCCCTGATAAGTCGCATCAGTACAAATATGTCTAATAAAGTGGGAAAATCCAGGTGTGGGTTGGTGTGCCAAAAATTGATGGGCTGCCAAATGGCGGCCATGTGTGCGTGCACGGGAGGACTGCATTTGCCGGGGCAGTGCAATGAAATGAAGCTGATTCGGTTGCTCCAGGCAGACGACGGTGGCAGTTTATGGCAAGCTAATTGTGTCATTAATAGCCACTTTTACCTATGACATGATACAACTGCATTTCATACTACTCGACTGCCATCTAGTGGCTGAAAATGGTAATGTTCAATATTTTCAGTCAGAATGAATGAAAACGGTCAAATCTCAGGCAAAAAGTGGTTTATAAATATGGAAAATATCCATAAATACGTTGTTTTGCCATATAAGTCACAGGGCATGTAAATTATGCAAAAAAACACAACCTATACAGCGAAAAATACTTACTATTTGTACTACTATTCCTACTTTACGTTTTTTCACTTATTGCGGGGCTTCAGGGTACAGATCCCCCGCGATAAACAAGGGACTTCTGTATTGGTGTTTAGTGTATTTCTTAGTTTATATCTTAGATCCTTATTACTGCTTCTTTTTATACTTTATATTTTTGCTATTGCTAGATGGAACTGGGACCCTGTGTACACAATTTTGTTCTACCTCATGTACCACATGTGATGTGAATGATAATGAAACCTACTTGAACTTAAAAGTCTAAACCTTCAGAGATTTTTAATTTTGTTGTGGTTTGAGCATTAATCGCTGTTTATTTCCGTATATTAAGAAAAGTCTTACAAGACTTTAATTGTCGTGCTGCCGGGACAGGCTGGTGATGTGTTTGTCTGTTAGATAACAAATATCTCATGAACCAGCAGAATAAAACTCAAAAAGTTATTGTAGAATGTATAATTACAGCTGTTGAAGTTTTGGTATCAACCTGGTTAAAGTTGGCCACCGCAGTTTATCAACTTTTGCAAACTCAAAAAAGTCTGGCCTGTCATTTTTATAGATTTACAGGTTGTAACAAGACAAAAGTGACTGAAGGTATTCTGTTTTCATTTCATCTGTATTTATTTACATGCTTGGTGCTCAACAGGGAGCTTCTGTTCACGTTTATACACAGAGACAACGCAAGTAAAAGACAAATTGATTAAAAGTGGAGCTGTGGTGGATGTCTTGGAGGAAATTTCATTTCACCCATCACAAACGCTTTAAATGACTTTAATTCAAACTTTCTGAGTTGAATTGGATTTGTTTCTGTGTTCCAGGTGTTCCTTCCTGCATCGAACAGCAGGTGACACAGAGCGACGGTATCACCTCCGCTATTATAAAACTGGATCTTGTATCCATGAAACAGATGCAAAAGGCCACTGCACAAAGAACGGCTCCCACTGTGCCTTCGCCCATGGATCACATGACCTGCGCAGCCCCGTCTATGATATCAGGTGTGCAGGATTGGACTTTTTCTACCTTTGTGTTCAGCTCCACACACACACGCCTCTCCAGTTGCTCAAAGTGTTTTTGGTATGTGTTTTCCACAGAGAGATGCAGGTGATGGAGTCTCAAGGGGGGTCGGGAGCAGCAGAGGGAAGCGGGGGAGACGGGCAGTCGGGACAAGCAGCGAGCACAGCCCTCATAGAGAAGATCCTGAGCGAAGAACCACGCTGGCAAGGTAAAACCCTTCGGCTTGCCAAAGAGGAGCAGGTTGTTTCAGAGAGCAGAGAAACCCGAGGACTCCTCCAGTTTGTATTTTGGATCAGGACCTAAAACTGCGCCGCTCATCCTCAGACAGGAGTTTGCAAGAGAAGCCCAGGTCTCGTTGTAGACTCGTTGGAGGTTCACAATTAGATTATCTGGCGGTTCCTGAATTTTGCTTGGTTTGGGACCAAGTCAGAAAGTTCAAAATCTTCCTCTTCAGTTTATAATATGTACATGGTCAACGTGCAACAGCATTTTTCACATTAAATTTTTGGGCATCACAGTTTATTTTCGTGTGCAAAGCTGCATTCTAGGTCGTGTGCAATATTTTGTTGCCCACCTCCATTCATATTATACTCACCTCAGCCGACTTTGCACCAACCTTGGCAGCCGCCCCTGTATTTAGGATTTAATGTACTTCGGTATGCTTTGAGCTCCTCCACTTGAGGCAGAACCACACCCTCAAGTGGAGGAGTTTAAGTATCTTGGGCCAACAAAGTCCAGGCTCAATAATCCAGGTATACAATCCAACAATTTTCAGTCAGGTCATTTGGACATTTTCTTTTTTTTTTATGCTGAAACGTTTCACCTTCCATCCAGAAGACTTCATCAGTCAAGGAAACACACAACACAAAACCGATTCTTCCCCCAACAGCTTACTCCAAAGTGGAACAAACCAGTTATGTTGGTGCTAAGATGGTCTCTTTGGCACGCCCCCCCCCCCCTCTCCAGTGTATACCTGGATTATTGAGCATGGACTTTGTTGGTTTTGAACCAGTTTGACATGACTGTCGACGAGGGAGAGGGCCGGCACTGGAGGAGGGGACGTGCCAAAGAGACCATCTTAGCACCAACATAACTGGTTTGTTCCACTTTGGAGGCGAGCTGCAGGCGCTGTAAAATCTAAATCTGTTTGAGCTTCATACATATTTCAGAAACAGTGTAAAGTTGGCAAAATAAATACAAAAGTGCAAACGCAGTCACATCCTGTTGTGTTTAGAACATGTTCCATCAGTTCAGAACCTGAACTGTTCTCTCTTGACCCGACCTTTTTATCTGCATGTTCCCGTCTCTTGATTTCTGCAGATAACACCTACGTGCTGTCCCACTACAAGACCGAGCTGTGCAAGAAGCCTCCTCGCCTGTGCCGTCAAGGATACGCCTGCCCGTATTACCACAACAGCAAAGACCGGCGGCGCAGCCCACACAAACACACGTACAGGTGCTCGTGGGCCGGAGTCACGCATCATGGTGGTGTTTGCATTGGGTCACTGTTACATTTGTTTAAGTTGCTCTTTGTTCTCGCTGCCACAGAGCGTTGCCGTGTCCAGCGGTGAAACAGGGGGAGGAGTGGGGTGACCCCAGCAAGTGTGAGGGAGCAGAGGGCTGTCAGTACTGCCACACGAGAACGGAGCAGCAGTTCCACCCGGAGGTTTGGCTCCTTTTACTGTCCATTTCACACAGTCTGGAACAGAAATGTTTGTCCACCTTCTTCCTAGCCCCCATGCTGCCTTGTGTGAATTACGGGCGCGACTTCCAGCATGGACCAGAACCGGCGTTTGTTTGTGTGCAAACAGTAGGAGCTCATGTAGTTTCTCCGAGCATTGTGGATTTAATTTAAACATGTAGGAACACCACGTGTCCGAACTCAAACAGGACAATACAGGTGCTGGTCATAAAATTAGAGTATCGTGAAAAAGTTGATTTATTTCAGAAATTCCATTAAAAAAGTGAAACTTGTATATTATATTCATTCATTACACATAGACTGATATATTTCAAACTGATATATTTCAAATGTTTATTTCTTTTAATGTTGATGATTATAACTGACAACTAATGAAAACCCCAAATTCAGTATCTCAGAAAATGAGAATATTATTTAAGACCAATAAAAAAATGATTTTTAGAAATGTTGGCCAACTGAAAAGTATGAGCATGAAAAGTATGAATATGAAAAGTATGAGCATGTACAGCATCAATACTTAGTTGGGGCTCCTTTTGTCTGGATTACTGCAGCAATGCAGCGTGACATGGAGTGGATCAGTCTGTGCCTCTGCTCAGGTGTTATGAGAGTCCAGGTTTCTCTGATCGTGGCCTTCAGCTCCTCTGAATTGTTGGATCTGGTGTATCACATCTTTCTCATCACAATACACCATAGATTTTCTATGAGGTTAAGGTCAGGCAAGTTTGCTGGCAAATTAAGAACAGGGACATCATGGTCCTTAAACCAGGTACTGGTAGCTTTGGCACTGTGGGCAGGGGCCAGGTCCTGCTGGAACATGAAATCTGCATCTCCATACAGATCCTCAGCAGAAGGAATCATGAATCTAAAACATTGTGGTAAACTGTTGCTGTGACCTTGGATTTAAGAAGCAGAGTTTACAAACACCTGCACCGTACATTGCACCCCAAATCATGACTGACTGGATATTTCACAATGGACCTCAAGCAGTATGGGTTCTGTTCCTCACCCTTCTTCCTCCAAACCCTTGGACCTTGATTTCTAAATGAAAGGCACACTTTACTTTAGTCGGAAAAGAGGACGGAGGAACCCGACAGTTGTAGCCCATCTCCCGGATGCATCTGAATGTGGTGGTTTTTGAAGCTGTGACTCCGCCTCATTCCACTCTTTCTGGATCTCTGCCAGATTCTGGAATCTTCTCTGTCTGATTATCTGCTGAAGCCCACGATCATGTATTTTACTGGTGCATCTTCTGCTGCCACATTTTGCCCTTCCACTAGACTTTCCATTGATATGCTTGGACACAGCACTCTGTGAACAGCCAGCCTCCTTAGCTATGAACTTTTGTGGCGTACCCATCCTATGGAGGGGATCAATGATGGTCTTCTGGCCAGTTGTTATGTCTGCAGTCTTCCCCATAATGAACCAAACTGAGACAATTGATCCAAACAAGCAATTTAATGACACCTGGGGAAACTTTTGCAGGTGCTTTGAGTTTAGTAGATGATTAGTGTGTCACACTCAGTTTAAAACATTCATGCCCTGCAACATTTGGGCTGATTTCTCCACAGTATTCTAATTTTTTTGAAATCCTGTTTTCGTGGGATTCGTGACCTGGAAGCCCAAATTATGTAAAAATAAACAAATAAATACTTGAACTAGTTTAAATTTTGAGCCCTGAATCTATCATCTATTAAAGATTAACTTTTTGAGTGGAATTATGGAAGTTAAACAACTTTTCCATGATATTCTATTTTTTGGAAAGGGTCTGTATAATGCTGTCACCTCCATACACTTGAAATCATCCCTGATGTTCTCGTCACTGTTTTCAATTCTTCTGAAGATTCGGTGTCTCTTCTCCGGTGGTTTATTGTAGTCCAGCCACAAAGGATGCAAAGGATGTAGGATGCAGGTTTTCCTCCGTTGGCCGTTTGTCAACAAAGTGAAATGAGCACACAGACAGTGTTTTGGGTGGTCTCTTCAAGTTCACATTTTTCAACCACGTTCTTCTTAATTCCTCATCTGTAGGTAGGAGATGGAAACTATAGCTCTTTTCACAGGAACACTCTTTTTGTTTTGGGTCCTTGTTCAATACTCTGTTGTTGTAGCCACTGATGGAGTTTGGACTGGTTGTTCTGCAGCCGTGAACACAACAGGTGCCTGAACTCAGCACGGCTATTTTAATAAACTTTATGGTTGTTAAATAAATGTGAACAAAACAAAAGCAGTGTTTTATCTGCTAAACTGAATGTAAATTACTTTCAAATAAACCGCGGTCCGTGCCCTGCTGCCATGGTTAACCAATGCTTACAGCTACTTCCTGTCTGACAGGAAGTTGTACTCATAGTCATTTAGACAGTGGGCCCCCCAGGAGTAAGGTGGACAGATGAATAGATCTGGTTTGTTCTGTCCCAGATCTACAGGTCCACTAAGTGTAATGACATGCAGCAGTGTGGCAGCTGTCCCAGAGGACCCTTCTGTGCCTTCGCTCATGTTGAAAGTGAGTTCCTACTAAATGTTTTTGATCACTTCTCTGCAAGAGACTCAGTTTTATCAGTCTGATGTTTATTTTGTCTTTACAAAACCTCTTCAGAGCCTTTTGTTCCCGAAGAGCCATCGTTCCCCAGCTCCCCTCTTCTCTCCAGACCCCCAGACCTCCTACCTAGCCGGGAGGGCTCTCTGAGCCCCAGCAGTCACAGCGTAAGGTCTGGGCCTTGTACAGCGTCAGACCTCTTCTCTCCCTCTGTTGCATCCTGTGCAGCAGAGCAGGGGCTGCTGGGTAGTGTCTTATCACTGTGTGAGGACGCCAGAGGAGGAGCAGACCCTCTGTCTCCCTGGGTGGGTGGCGGGGTGTACGGGAGGGCGCCTGGATTTGAGCGGGAAGATCAGGTGAGAAACGCTCATTATGTTTGTTTTGATCTAAATCCAAGGAAACAAACTTTGAGTGAGTAAACAGTAACTTTACGATGTTTGTTGTCACTGTTAATAAACAATTTGTGATTTCAGGCCAAACAGAGGAGTTTTTCCTTCGAGCAGCGCAGCAGAGAGTTTTCAACAACACAGAGCAAACAGGTACGACTGTCCAAGTCCGAACTACTGGAGCCTCGTGTATAAACCAGTGAGGCTCGTGTATAAACCACTAAGCCTCATGTATAAACCAGTGAGCCTTGTGTATAAACCAGTGAGGCTCGTGTATAAACCAGTGAGGCTCGTGTATAAACCAGTGAGGCTCGTGTATAAACCAGTGAGGCTCGTGTATAAACCAGTGAGCCTCGTGTATAAACCAGTGAGCCTCGT